AGCTAACAGCTACTAATAAAACAAATGGCTAGAGGTACGGATAGCTAGAGATTTAAACAAGATCTGCAAATGGATTATCATCCACCGTAAAGTCTGATCTACAAGCATCAGTTATACCTGACTTCTCAAAGCCTTTCCTTATGTCATCTGGCCTCCCTTTTAAATATACTATCTGATTGAGAGACTAAATATCACTATTGTATATCTATCATTTTGTACTGTGCCATCATCACTGTATTTTTTAGTAGTTACTGAGCAGATCGTAAATTTTATAATGTGAAACAACTCAGACTACCACCTACATGCTTAAAATTGAAAGCAAAATGACTGGAATAATAAGGAATAATAATGATCTAAGGCAAATATCTAACTAAAATTTTAGTGGAAAATCGTTCATTTTTCGAAAAATTTGTGCCCAAATTTTCGGTCGCCCAAATGAGTTCAAATTTTCTGCCCAAATTTTTCGGGCTCAAATAAATTGTGCTCAATTTAATGGCACACAAATTTTTGGGAACTAAGGTATTCGGTATTTTCACAGTCCTGTAACGTTATTATCCGATAATTTATTCGATATAGATAGTCTATCCTCAGTAAATTTGTCAGAAACAAATCATTTTCCCGAACTTTTCCCCGCTCTATTACTGATGATCTAGCCTTGTGTCTTGTTCCTGTTGAATGCTAATTTTGCAATATTCTCGAATTAAGGGTAAACTAGATTAAAGGTGCGCACGCTTGCAAGCCACCACGTACGAAGCTATTTTTAAAACTTAATTCCTGGTTAATTTTGACCTGTCTACACTGGCCAATTACCGCTTGATTTGCCAATTCGACCAAGTCGCAAGCATTCCCCAATGGAGATATGATATTTTACTCTATTGTTTTCGGTCTCTCTTTCGATCTGTGTCCTAGGAAGAAACATTCCGTGCGAAGAATTTAAGATAATGAGGTCTGATCGTCATCTTTTTACAGCGTTCGATATCTGCAGTAGTCCCATTACCTTAGTATTGCTCTACAACTACTTCTAGAATATAGGTGCACCCGAAATTATACGTGTCGCCAGAATGTCCATTCCGCGAATACCCTTACACTTACAGTCTTTGCGTTGCAAGTTATTTGCAGCGATTTCCCCCTCATATTTAACCTCTATCTACTCTGCTCTTTAGCTCTTGATACTATCTAGATATGTATCTCCGTGTTAGCTACTCGGGGTAGTACCTGCACTAGTTTTGAATTCCAGCAACTCCTACCCTGTCACTCAACATGTTATTAGAATCCAGGTTTTGTATGTGATATCTAATGCACTCCTACATAGTTTTGTGTGCCCAAAAATCAGCATACCTATCAAGAATTTGATGTTCCTGCCTACTTTCTGGCGCTAAATTTCGAGAATTATTCAATTGTTGGGGCGTTGCCACTCACGTCGAGGCTAATGAGGGCCGTGAAACTTGGTGGTTAGTGCTACGTTTGGTGTAACACGTTAGATCACTATTTTAGGACAGATAGGTCAGGAATTATTTTACCAATGATATGAATCTCCGCCTATTCAGCTCTCAGTAGATTTGTAGGGAGGTATTCAAGCCACCAACCCCCCCCCCCCCCCCCCCCCACCCATACGGCCCCGGCCCCTCCCTTTTCACAAAACTGATCACAAGCCACCAACCACTCCCCCGGCCCCTCCCTTTTCACAAAACTGATCTCAAGTCACCTTGCTCGTGAAACTTGTTTTCGAGATAAATAAGTCCCGTAACCAAACTTTTGAGGGGGTCGCGGACCACCAGTGCAAACCATTGTCCGTGGTGCAGCCGTCCCCATATTTGCCCCCCCCCCCCCCTCCCTTATAAAGCTACCTAAAAACCCGTATGTGATCTGCTCAAGTGCTAACAAGCTACGCAACTAACTGTATGTGAGCTAATATGCCGTAGCCCGTATGTGATCTATTTGAGAGAGCGAGAATGCTGTGTGTTCTACTGCTCAAGTGCTAACAAGCTACGCGAATAACCGTATGTGAGCTAATATGCGGCATATTAAATATGCCGTATGTGATATATTTGAAAGCGAGAATGCTGTGTGTGACTACTCGTTACCCGCCTGTAATTTAGTGTGTAATAGCAATTGTTGAGCGTTTAAACTGTCGTGGGTATATGTTATAATATGCGCACTATATTATTACGTACGTGATTTCATCTAACCATGTGGTGATAGCGGTAGGAGACAGGCCTGACTTTTGTTTAACACGCGTGATTTTAGTTTAACACGCGTGACTTTTGTTTAACACGACGTGTGATTTTACTTTGTGTTTCTTACTAGTGGTGTCTGATTTTATTGCCATGATCGGGGGACGGAAATAATAGTGATGTCATGTTTGTGTTCTGTTATGAGTGCAGAGTGTGAGGTTACGTAGTGTGCCGCACTGTACACTGTACTGACGTTCTGTGTAAGAATATAGAATATACCATTCATTACAGTGTGCTATTTAGTGTTGCACCTGCTAAGTCCTCATTTGTATGTGTACCGGTTTTAGTGCCAATGCTGGTACTTATACTGGTACACGTACGACCGGTACCACTGGTACCCCTCCACCTTCCACGTACGACTGGTAACTACCCGGTGTAGAACTGTATGTACTGGTACCCAAATTAGCACCGGAACCACACCTTGCGTACGTGTATCTGCACACTGTGCTCTCTAATAGTGTTATAACCCGTCATCAGCTCATGGCCGAACGTGTTTGAGTTCGTACGTGTTTTTAGTTCGTACTTGTTTGTAGTTCGTACGTGTTTGTAGTACGTACGTGTTTGTAGTTCGTACGTGTTTGTAGTTCGTACGTGTTTGTAGTTCGTACGTGTTTGTAGTTCGTACGTGTTTGTAGTTCGTACGTGTTTTAAAATCGTACGTGCTTTTAGTTCGTACGTGTCTCTAGCATTGCATGGCTGCTCTCTTTCTTTCTCTCTCTCTCTTGCCAGCCCGACTATATATGGCCTCCCTCCTCGATGCGACTCAGTTCGTTAGCTTTACTTTTGCCATCAGTATAGCAGTATATAATTACACTGTTACCCTGTAGTATATATAAATTATACTGTTACATAGCCCACTATATAATAGAGCCATACAACACTTCCAGACCCTTCAAATGTTTCTAACTTCGTGTAGCTTCCGTATATTTTGTGCGTGACTTAGTGTTAGCAGGTAGCGTTGAAGGCAACGTGGTAGCCGACAGATTGCATCAGGTAGCGTTGGAAACTCGCAAAATCCGTTATTTTCCGCAGAACTATCAACACATCCTCCTAGCTTGAGTCCGTGCGTGATTTTTTCCGCGGAACCATCGTCAGTTTGTAAAATTCAAATACTTCAAACAAGTCTAAGACTTTCCCATAGGAGGACTCTGTTACTTTTCTTGGTGAGGCTTGTATTTTGTTTCCATTTTTTTTTCTTGGTTTATGTGACAAGTCCCTAATTAAATGTTGTATCGGAAAATGATCCTACTCATTTTTTACTTTAAATAAGGCCTCTATTCAATGATTGATCTAATTATAATCTACACTTACACCTAACTCTTGCTATTGAGTTCCTGGAGAAAGAGCAGCCAATTGAATTATCTCAATAATTGCAGGGCTCGTACATTAAACCCTCTCTCTCTCTCTCTCTCTCTCTTAGCCACTATCTTTTACATTCGTTTTACATTCTTTCTCTCTCTCTTTCTCTCTCTCACTCTCTCTCTCTCTCTCACTCTCTCTCTCTCTCTCTCTCTCTATCTCTATCTCTATCTCTCTCTCACTATCTCTCTCTCTCTCTCTCTCTCTCTCTCTCTCTCTCTCTCTCTCTCTCTCTCTCTCTCTCTCTCTCTCTCTCACACTCTCTCGCTCGCCCGTACGTGAGTGTCTTGAAATAACAAGTCGTGGCCACGCCATCTGCTTATTGTGGTTGACAGTATGTGTAGTGTGTACTATCCAGTGCAGTATCCTTGTAGTTTCCTTGTTACTTTGTTGCTTTCAAGTTATTTTTATCACTCCCTTTATATTTTGTATGAGGTTTTTTTGTTACGCCTTTTTATTTTGTATGAGGTTGCAATTTTGACAAATTTATTTTGTATTATCTTGCTACGTTGAATGCTGCGGCGTGTATACATTGAGTATTTTTAGTGGTCACGCACATTTAGTATTATATAGTGTTAGCCATTAGCTGATGTATTTAATACATGGCTGGTTTATTATGCATTCACTTTCGTATCGTATTTGCATATATATTGATTCGCGTGTTAAATGTTTATTCAGTTTTGTAATGTGTATAACTTTACTGTTTAACATGAGTCCCGTAAGTTGAAATGGTAAACTAGCTAACATTTCCGTTCTATGAGTATATTAAATGGCGTTGTGTATTGTCAGATACATAATTATATGTATGTGACTATGTCGTTAGCCCGTAATTATCTGACTCCACTGTTAAATGTTTACTTTATCCCACACTTAAAATAGGTTACAATTATACACATTGCAAGTTTACACGTGTTTACCCTCAACTTACCTTAATCAACTCAATTTACCTTATATTAATAGAGCCATATAACAGCTTTCAGATTTCAGAACCTTCAAAATATTTCTTACTTCGTGTTGCTCTCCTTCCGTATCTTTTGTGCGTGACGTTTACACGTGTTTACCACATTCCCTCAACTTACCTTAATCAACTCAACTTACCTTATATTAATTGATGTATGAAATATTATCCGTCGAGGAACAGTTATTTGCTTAGCCTGCTATACTTTGAACATAAAGTTGTGAATTTTAAAATAAAATCTCACTATTGAACAACACACTCCGTCGTCTCAGAATATTTTTGCGCGTCAAATATAATTTCAAGAATTGCTGGACTGAACAAATTGTCATTAAGATCAACTTAGATCTTGCCTTTGTGAAGAACAAACAATCCTAACGTCATAAATTAACAAGAAAGTGTTCCACTATTACAAATCATTATGTCTAACCAACTGATCTCCCACTAGGCAATGTTACAGCACCGATCGATAAAACAAACAAAATGCTGTCAAATACAATAAACATCACAGATACAAGCTGCAACATAGGGTCACCAACAGGACCAGGGTTCGGTACGTACCGCAAGGAGAACGAGAAAAAGAGGTCGAAATGCAACCGGGACAAATTCAAGGAGTACATGGGCGAGCTGAACGAGGCGATGGGCTTCAAGAAACTGAGCATCAACAAATGTCTCTCCACAGCTGTGTCTCTCCTCAAGCTGAGCAAGTTCATTGACAGGTTTCCCAACCAAGTAGAAGGAACTGTGTCTCCCAACATGTTTTATGAGGTTGGAAACTACCTAGGATTAGCATTTGATGAGAACGGAAGAGTACTCCACATCACTCACAAGATGTCAGAACACCCGCTGCCCTTCAACATGTGCCACGTCGGCTCATTCCTCAACCAGATCTGCTTCAACACTGACGAGATCCTCCACAAGGTGTTCAGACAGAACTCTAGCCACATGGAGATGAAACTGAAGTACAGCAAGAAGAACAAACAGCCTACTTCCATGTTCTTCAGAGGCAAGGTCATGTTCAATGCTGCTTCGCAGGTCAAGATGTTCATCGGATACGGATTCATTCAGGACAAGCGGGATTCTATTCGGGATCCCTTCATGTTCAACTCTGGATTCGAGGTCTGGATTGATTCCAACTATGACGTCATCAAGTCTCATAGTTGGCTTGAGCTCCTCCTTGAAGAGAGTGTGAAGCACCAAAGAGCGGGTCGTGTTAACCTCTTCTCCTTGCTTCATCCTGAAGACATGGGTGTCATAGAGACTTGTGAACAGCAAATGAAGACTCAAGGCTTCTTCAAGGTTTCTTGCAGACTGTACGACGGAGAGAATTATCTCTGGGTCACGGCAAGAGGGTATCCTCAAAAGAAGGGTACCCCCGATGCCTATGCTGAAGTATATGTGTGGCCTTTTGCCTATGAGGATTTCAAGACTGGTGACATGTACCTTGTTGATGTCAAGAAGCTGTGGAGTAAGAAACAAAAGCGAGGCAAGGTCTACAAGGCAGCCCGAGCAAAGAGCCCCATGATGATGGCTCCAAGCCCTGAACGCGCCAGCCTCGACTCTAGCTCAGATGACTTTTCTGAAGTTCTTGGAAAACGTTCTCGATCCGATGGCGAGTCCTCGGATGGTTCAGATAGCTGTGGTGACTCACCCAAACGTCTTGCCATCGACTGCTCACAGTCAGTTAGCTCTCCTGAGTCTTATGAACCCATCAGACCCATCGCTAAAAGAGTTTCAGCTTTCCAAGCCTGCAGAGGAGCATTCGTCCCAGTTGCTGGCCACCTTCCCGTTCTAAAACTGAACTACGAACATGAACAGCCGATGAAAAGGAAGTTCGAGCCAGTTGTGATGCACTCAGAGTTCATGAACTATCCTTCCAGTCCCGAGATATCCTCCACTGGATCCAGGACCCCAGATTCGGAGACCCAGGAGCTGCACAGCCCAGTGTTTCCTCCTACCATGACTGTTAAGCAGGATATCCTAGAGAAGAGTGCGTCCCAGTTGAACCTTGGTCGGTTGATGCAAATGAATGCGGTGTTAAAAGAGCTGAAAGACACGAATGTAGGCCTGTTCCACAAGTTTGCGGACGTGTTGGACCCAAGTGGGAAGCCTGAGCAGGAGGGTCTCCTCACCTTCCTGCCACTTATACTGAAGTTGCAAGAAAGAGATCTTATTGAAGGGTAAGTTGTTGGCTTTTTTAAAGTTCTTTTTGTTGTTTGTTTCATAATTGCGTTCCATGATGAAGGTTTAACCATAACATTCCTAATTTATATTCTTCAATTTGTCACTTTTTCTAAAACTTTACACCAATTTCAGTATTTGAAGATATCAGAGGGAAGAAATTAGGTAGCAGAAGAATTCTGAGAACAGAACGCCATTCTAACAGAGTCCAAGTCCTGACCAACACATGCCTTATTTATTAGTGATTAGTTGGTCCAAGTAGACACAAAAATACGTTAGCTAGTCATGGATTAGGAACGTACCACTTTAGGTCGCACATTCAGTCTTCAAGATAGGCTTCTAGCCAAAATAAACCTTGTCCTGCTTGAAATTCATTTTAAATGAAATTGATTCTTGCATTACCCTGACACCAAGCGGACTGAATGTGCTGTTAAACCTCAATAACAAAAGTGATCAGCTTGAATTACCATTCAGCTTCACTATATCAAAATACACACCAACAATGATGTTGTTGTACTTGCTTTCTCTTGAATATATCACTCAGGACTGTGATGTTATCCTGGTGCAGATCACCAATTATTGGCGTTGGTTCAACCAACATGTTATTTTGTTTCTCAGTTTTTGATAGCTTGTTTGTTAGATGTCGCTGGGATTTGCACGTGTTGCACGTGTTTTCCCTCCCAATACAAGCCCCTGAAAGCTACAAAACAGCCTTGCAGACTTTAAAGTCTTGAAAGGCTTTAAAGTCCATACTAGGATTCTTAATAACACACCTGTGCTCTTCAACTTTAAATGTTGAAATTGTGGCTGAATAACCATCTAGCACGCGATGCCCATATAAGGGAACACGTGATGCCCATATAAGGGAACACGTGATGCCCATATAAGGGAACACGTGATGCCCATATAAGGGAACACGTGATTCCCATAATATAAGGGAACACGTGATGCCCATATAAGGGAACCTAGCTATATCCGGGGCTTGTGCTATTATTGGAGCTTAACAGGCAGTATTCTCTGACCCCTTTACCTGTAGTACGGAACGAATGTTCAAGTTAACATTTTGCTATATTATCAAACAGAATATCTTTTCTAGTGTAAAAGATCTATATTGAGTTGTAATACATTGTATACCAAGGGCCGTGTCATCGGCGATTTTTTGGAGTGAGTTTTCTGAAATCTTTGGGCTTGTCAGTTATGTGTTATATTAGTGGCATGCCCTTGGGAATTCCCCCTAAAAAGATTCCAAAAAGTGACTTTGTCATGCGACAAAGCTTCAGGGTAATTGGATAGTATTAGTTGCACTGGGTTTTAAATTAAATTTGTTTACGTTCCATTTTTGTGGCCTGTAATATTTCTTAAATAATTTTTACAGTAAACTTACAAGCTCTTAGCCGCCAAGTCGTAAAAAACGGGGTATTTTTTTCTAAAATAGATTTATTAAGTTTATTACATGTGATCACACACAGATTTTAATCACAATGTTATATATGCAATGTTATGAAGGTTTTTTCGTGACATCGTGGGTGCTTAAACTGACCGAGCACACCGCAAATATTTAGTTGCATAATTATCCCAATTAGTTGCATAATTACCCCATGTTTAATGTGGAACATATGAGTTTGAGCGCCCACCCAGTTTTCAAATTTATAATTTAGCTGTTTGAGCTGTAAGATGCTCTGATGCCAACAGTTGAAATATCAACTGTTGATATTTCAACCAACAGTTGAAATATCTACCTACTCTGCTGGCCTCGTCCGCCAGCAAGAACTGTTTTAATTAATTTACTGTAAGGTAAATGTTTACTTTTCAAGTCAGGAGATTTTAAATAATTTGCCAGTTGTGCAAATGAGCAGTATCCCCTGACTTACCTTGATATGTTTCTTAGCTTTTACGTCTGCATCTGATTGTTCGAGAAGTAAATTTAAATTTAATTTTTAAGTTTTCTGCCTGATAAGAAGAATGTTTGTGGGTCCTCACCCTCAAGAATGTGGACCCAGTTATTTGTGAAAGTAAAGACTAGGAAGGTTTCTAGTTGTCCAGTTAAGTATGTTTGTGTTATGAACGATCAGATGCAGATCATTGGGAAATAGGCGCAATCACTAAAACTAACTAAAATTAACTCGCCAGAACTATCGAAACTGGCAAAATCTTACTAAATTTTATGAACTTGTAGCTTTTAAAATTTGATACAAATCTGAGTCAAAAAAGAAAGTGATTGTGCCTATTTAACGTATATTGACCATTTGTTTATCTTTGTCGGCCGGGGCCCTATAATGGGGCCTTGGATTTAGGAATTTGGAAAATATGTGGGTTTTCCTGGGTTATAGGGATCATGTTAATCATGATATTATATGTATTTTGCATGTTTATTATTCGCAGCAGGCTTACAATGATCTTGTGAGAGAAGCTGGGTGAGAATATTGCTCAACAATTTGTTTTGTTAAACATTGATCGTTATTTGATCTCTGTTTTATTCGAGTTGTATGGACAATTGTCTATGGATAGATTCCATGGATATATTTCCATGTCAGGTTGATATCTTGCTATGTTTGAGTGATGTTTTCATGTATAGTAAGGAAACCAGCTAACGTGTTTGCCGTGTGGCGAAATCGTAGATATTTTTTCAAAAAGAGTAGATTTCAAAATTTCCCCACAACCGAGGTTTGATTTTTTAGTTATATGTTTGAGGAAATGCTATATGAGTTTATCGAAGTGCATTCAAATTCCCACTTTTGTTGTAAACAATTTGGGAAATGTTACGTTTTATGGAGGAACAGTTTATTGTATGATGCTTTTCTGCCGTCTTTCTCGACAGTTTTAAGTTGTGTGAAAAGTTTTGTAAATCTTAAAAACGGACTTCACGTGGAGAACTAAAGCCAGAAAATGTTATGATTTTTCGAGTATTGTTCTAACTAGTGTACAAGATACCTGTCAACTTAAAGTTGATTTAAGTCTCCTTGTATATAATTGAGATGTAGTAAATTCTTTGATTCTATAGACAAACATTTATTATGAGGAATGTGTCTGCACTGAATATATTGAAGCTAATCAACTCTTATCAAGCTAATTGAAGCTAATTAACTCTTATCAATCTAATTGAAGCTAATCAACTCTTGAAAGCAAAATGTTTACATCACTTTTCTCTCCGTCGAATAATCAGTCTGAATAATGCAGTTGATCAGATATTCACAAATAAAAGTATATTTTCTAAAACCAGGAAAACAAAATCAAGAATTGTCACGTTTGACGACGATGACATAATATTAGTATCATACCTATAACAGTAGCGCCCACGTGATTATAAGCCCACGTGACTATGACGTCATCATACCTATAAAAGTAGCGCCCACGTGAAACAGGACACCCTGACTGCTGACCACATTTTTAGGGCTAAAAGTTGTGTGATCTAACACGATAATTAGGTAATTACTGTAGGAACGTTCTAGATCTGCCTGATCATCATGGAAACTTATCTTATCTTAAATTCTTTTTAAAAATTAAGTAAACGGTCATCAGTTTGTTCGGGAATGAGCTTTAATTTAGACAACTTTCAAAATGTGATTAAAATTGAATCATGATTGAGTTTGAAAATCGATTGTGTGATTTTCATGAAAGTTAAAATCCGAGAACGATGACATTACCAATAAATCCCCTGTAACAAAAACATAAAACACATAGTCATCATTCTTAAAGTATGTTAAAAATTACAGCTGTAATTAATTCCAGAAACACTCAGTAAGTCACAGATTTTCGTGAAATCGCAAATTGAATTCACATTTCACACGCAAATTGAATTCACATGTACCTTCGCTTGTGGTCAGCAGCAATATTACCGTGAGAGATTACGAGGTATTAATAAATCAAGCTGGGGCTAGATTATGTTAAAACACTATTGTTTAATGTAGCGTTAACGCCTTAACCTGTGCACGCTCGTTTTCAGGAAGGCCTCTTCTTCATGTTAATCTAAATTAAAACTAGGGATTTAAATTATATTATACTATATTGCTTCCCACCTTCTTTTTATCAATAATATGTTTCGAGGACTATTCTCCTAAATCTCTGTCAAGTTAGAATTCCTGGGAAAGATTTATTCTATAAATCTAGAATGTTCTCAATTATATCAGATAGAGTGTGGAGGATGCACTTCTCTCGTTGCCAGTGGTGATGGTTGCTACTATTATGATAGTTATCACGCTGCTTTGTGCCGCGCGCACTGAATTGATGACGTTGATAATGACGTCACTCTGATATGATGACGTCTGAATATACGCCAACCGGTTGAGCTCTAACCTAAAACACTCATAATAGAATATAATAATTTAGAGATGTTCCCTAGTTGAACAGAAAGTCTGTTACCACGTTTGAATTATTCCTAATAACTTATTTAGACTGATTTCTCGAGAATTAAAATAATCGCACCCGTAAAGCTAAAAGGGAGCCGCTAATTGGAAATCTGAAGGTTTTCACGTCCTTTTAGGACAAAACAAAGGAGACGCCTAGTAAAAAGAGCTCAACGGTTGGTTGTATAGGACCGATAGTGTTACACAAATCATGGAAATGTTCTATATTATATGTGCTGAGGTGAGCTTTCCGCTGCACCATATCGCTGGTCCACGAAGTATTCGGATATATTTTACACACGAATCTGTCTGTACGTATGTTGTTAAGACTTGTTGCTATAAAATTGAAAAGTGTTAAAGTGGTCTTGTGAGTTTATCAGCTGATGGGAAATTCAAAAAATAATATAACTCAAATTAGAATTGGATGAAACAACTGATTCAGCCTAAAAACTATAACTTGAATGAGGTGAAAATATCGAAATTGAATCTTGGAGAAAATATAAGTGTACAGGAAGGTCTGCACTTTCTTCAAGAACTTGGCGCACGTCCAATATAAGCTCTCTGTGACCTCTGCGGTAAAACTCCGCAATATTTAGAGTATTTCTTATTTTAGCCTTAGGCCTTAAGTAAGTAATTAGGTAGGATCCATAACTATATTAATATTCAAAAATAGCTGCAAAATTCCAGAAAACGTTACTTCCATCAGCTGAAATTCTCAAGAGTACCCAGATTTCTATGTTCGGGCAGATATTATTAATTATATGTTGGGATAAATCAGGTAATAATATTGTTTTAGGCAATGAAAATGACCCTCTAATAGTTGTTGATTTTATTATTGTTACCATTGTTATACTACTATTGATATTGTTATTTAGCTCTACAAGATTCGAACTAATCGCATATTGTTCTCATTCAAAAATTCAGTAAAACTTTTACTAACTACAAAACAGTTGTGTTTTCCCGACTTGATGCATTTTATTGTTTAACAAAGTTTTAAAAAAGTAAAAAGATATGATTGAAAATACTCCAAAAAATGATAAATCAACAAAAATATGCTTATTTTATTATAGTAAGTTCGTTACTGTTCATGAATGATTAGAAATGATGTACTCGTAGGAATGCAGTAAATTTACTTCCTATAAAATGTACTCTGCTAGATTAAACAACTGTTATATCACCGTTACCATGGTTACGTTACGTTGTATGTCTTGTGAATGTATTGTGTAACTCTAGTCTTCTCAGAAGTTATCGAACTTCACTACGTAGATCAATGGTTCATGATTAGTTTTTTGAATGATGTTTTTGAAAATGTTGATCGGTGAGCCTACGGATCAGTTTACAATGTTCGCTAATAATAACTCCCTTACGGGTCGTTCACATATTACGTAATCAGCCGAGGGCCCGAGGGGGGAGGGTGGTTTCCAAATGATTGCGTTAGTGTAATTTTGACACAATATCTATGTCTAAAAATGATTACGGAGGGGGAGGGGGGTTAAACATTTTCCAAAAAGTAAATCAGGGTTTTACTGTACCTTAGTGTTTATTAGAAAGATGGTTCAATTGTTGTTGTGGAGTACCAATTTGGCGATGGGGACGGTTGGCGGATGAAAATAGAGATGGGTTTTAAAAAAGGTCGCGAAGGAGAGATAGCTTGCAAATCAACTTTGTCCTTTAACAAATGCTGATCCCATTCTGATTTCTCAACAGTGACCATACCAGAAATTTCAGGCTCGGCATCAAAAAGTTGTTCAAAAAGTTGTTCAAACACCCTATCTTTGTGCTCAATGAATTAATTTGTCAATCATTTTCTCAAACAAAAGTGAATTCCTGTAATTGTTTTGAATTTTCCATAAATGCATAATTATTATGGATCGCAATTGCCTGACCTTCTGGAGGGTGTCATTGCAATCCGAAATTTCTTTATGAAATGTTGGATAAATAATAAATATAAGTCATGTATTGGGAAGTTCCAAAAGTCTATGGCTAAAACGGCGATGACATCTCATCTGTTCAGAAACTCCCTTTCTCAATTAAATACCTAAACCTTGCAAATCACATACCTTGCACATTCCACCAATCACGTACCGTCTTGGCCTTGTAAATTAAGGCCCAGGTGATTTTTACAAAGCTATTTAGATATTCAACTATTATCATATCTCAAGTTAATTTTTCGCAAGCCAAAGATATTTGCACGCTGCACAGTAGACGGAATTTGAAGATTCCGGCCTTGGTTACCTGATAAAAATGCCACTTTTCATAAAGTCATAAGTTATGAGTTTATAAGTTAATATTCTACAGAAAATATGTAAATAATGTTACATGTAAAAAATATGTTATGCCTTATGTGAGAATGAATTCCATCGTGATTTCTTAAGAAAATAGGGCTTCTCGTCAGGCCTTCTCGTAAATATACTGACCTAATGAACCTTGTTCGTCATGCTTATAGGAGTAGTTCCGTTGCCATGTTTACATCATGTAAATTCTTTCATATCTTAATTTTCTTTAATTTTATCATTACAATTATTCATATCCATGAATGAAAGAAGCTATGCATATGCCGATATATGACGAATTTTGGGAGCCTATAAATATATGGAAACCACTAAAACTAATAAAATTCTAAGTCTGAAAACACCAACTATTCTGCCATGAATAAAGCCATTTATGGGCAATTCCACGTAGTGTAATTCACACTTTGCACAAAATTTAGCTTTTAATTGCATGCTAATTGTAGGCTAACATTAGCAGCATGATAATATAAAGTCAGAATGAAGTTTAAACGTTTGTGATGATGTGGCAACAAAAGTTTAATGTCTATCTCTTATACTTTTTATGTGAGCAGCATTTTAAAAAGTAGGCGTTATTCACAGGCATAATTTGGTGTTTTAGAAATCTTGCCTTAAAATTGCAATTCGTGCCCCAGTGTAATAGCAGAAGTTACAATAAGGCTTGATCACAATAAAGTACACATTTTTTCAACTTCCTATGTCCTTCCTAACATAAATTTTTGGAATGTGTGTAGTACAGGGACAATATAGGAAGTAAACGTTATTCACATTTGGACGTAGTGTAACTCACACTCTGCCCAGTTGCTCTGTTTGTGCGTTGTATTGATGTTTGCTTGTTCTTGATTTGGTTGCTGCTATTGTAAAATGGTGAAGTAGACTGACTATTACTGATTTTAAATTAAATTGACTACTAATCGGTCCAATTAGATACTGGTAATGGTGTAGATTACACCCTACTGCCATACCACAGTGGTCGGGCGCCCATGCGAGGTAGACATAAGATATAGGCATGACTAAGGGGTATGATATACCACAAAACATGTATTCTAGGGGTATCTTGCCCCAAAATAACGTTTAAAAAGGTTTTTATAGTGATTAAATGGATATTTGACCTCAAATATTAATTTTACCTCATATTTTGTTAAAAATTGCATTTTTTGGCAATTTTTTGCCATTTTTTAGGACAAACTACAAAAATAAGTTGCAAGTTAACTTTGGTAAGCATCTATAAGTTGATCTATCTGTAAGTATAGGACATTTAGAGCAATCCTAGAAAAATGAACAGTGTAATATTGTGGCATGATTTTTTTATGAGCTCTCAAAGGTTCATGATTAGACAGAAATTGGGCGAAATTTATAACTTTTTGAATCCATTTTTAGACCATTT